TGAGAACCCGGCGTGCTCCGTCCCGGCTTTGTAGGGATGCGAGGTCAATGGTCTAACGACTACGGCATGCACGACTATTGAGTACACCCCCCACCCCCCCACAGGTGGAATTGCGAAGCAGGAAGGGGGCTGGCGGGGTGTCGAGCATCAGTTTTAAGTCGGCAAGCGCCGGAAAGGGACAGGTAAGAATAGCATTTACAATGACCTGTCGACCGAATTGTCCCGGGCGGGCTGGCACGGGGGCGATGTTTCGACCTCACTGCGTGTTGACACCCGTTGTTCTTTGTTTTTTTTTCTCCCATCATTGGACTCTGTCGTCTGCCCCTCTGGCCCCTATCCTCCACTTCTACTAGCTAGACGACCCAACCGGGGTCACATAGGAGGGGGGGGTTGGACCCCCTCCTGCGGTTCATGCCTGAGGTATTTTTATCGCGAGAAGGGTACAGCAATCCCTTCCCTCGCGACTTACGAAGTCGATTATGGTTTACTAACAAACGAGCTTTGCAGCGCGTCGCTTTCATCCTAGACCAGGATTTATTTAGTGAGAAAAAAACTCTCTCTGCCGGGACTCGAACCCATGACCTGGCCCTTAGCAGGCTGCGAGGCTACCCACTAGACCACCGGGGCGACCGGTGCCCGTGTACCCGTGTGGGTTCGAGGTCGACCGAACAAACCACACGCCGAGACAGAAAATGCTTCAAAAGGCCGTGATCTGGGACCCCGTGTGTGTGTGTGTGTGTGCATTTCTAGCACCGACCGGGGGGAGCTAACCGGTTGACCATTGAACAGATGTCGGTCTGTATGGCGAGAAAAAAAATGCTAACACGCTGTCTTTAGGTCAATCTACCGACTAGGGGGGACGCATGGAAGGCGTCCGCGTCAGTTGGACCAGTACGGAGTACGGACATTGGAAGGTATTGAGCGGAGACCGGAATGGTTTTTAATGTGAAGAAAACAACAACAACTGAGAATGGCGTCTTTTCATTCGTCTTTATGTTTCATAGCGCGGTCGCCTCTAATCAAACCAACACACACATTAATGGCTGGCCCTTAAACAAAAAACAAAACACGTTTCGTGTGGCTGGCCCTCTCTCTCTTTGCCAGGTGCTGGTCAACGGAGCCAACGGTCGTCTCAGGATGTACCGCATAGAACCGTTGGCCGCGGGATCCTCCGCCATCTCTGCGGCCGTGGCTCTCGCCAAGAAGTACGGCTTCGGGGACCGGGGCAGGGCGGTGGTAACAAGGATAGCCAACCTGAAGGCATGTATCTAGACACCTATGCATATGTAAAAGCATGTTTAAGGCATCCTTAACTGAGTCTGTAGCTACCCTGTTTCATTTTTGTTTTTTTATGAGTAAAAAATTACTATATCAAGAAGATGCAAGGCAAGCTTTAGAAAAAGGAATGAAAGGATTAGTCGAAGCAGTTTCTGTTACTTTGGGCCCTAGAAACAGGCTTAATAAACCACAAGTACAAAAAAAGTCTTCCCAAAGAGTTGGAAAAAGAGACCAAAAACTTGTAAAAAGAAAAATACGGATGACTACCGCGAAGAAAGCAACTTTAGGCACAAGGGCAAAAACAAGTAGGAATTTTGGTAACCCGTTACGTTGACGGAAGTAACAGCGGGGTCTTCGCGGGATCGCTGTTGTTGCTGTTGCCTGCGGGGCGGACAGCATGATGCATCGCGACCTTTTAACCCAGCTGATATATTTTCTATCTGTCTTGATCCGTCCCTCGTGTAGCTTATTGCCCTGCCTTGCTGTCGTGTTACCCAGCCGAGAGCACCGTCGCGGCGTCTTGGGGGTGTAGGCTGCAGAGGTGGCGTGGCGTGAGATGGCCGTCGGCTTTCTTTTCGTTGGCGGTCCCCTCCTCCCCAGCAAGTAACCGTTTTTACTTGGTGGACGCAGCCCTCTCTCGCTGGCCCGGAGCAACAGCGCGCTCTTGTCCGAGGAATTTTCCGTGTGTTTGTCTTTTGTGTGTGTTACTGCCCATTGCGGGATGATGGCTGGTCCTTCTTGATTTCATCTGAAGGCGCTACTAACCCGGCGTTCGATGAACCCGGCTCGGATGGTGTGGTACCGCGATGTCAATCCGAGTCCAGTGCTGCCAGGGTCTGCCTGCTGTGGACTTGAGATATCGTCATCATGGTCATGATTGTTGTTGTTGCGGGGGCGATCGATGGTTGATGGTGGTTGCTGTCGTGTGGTTGCTGCTTGGCTTGTCGCTGCTGTCGCCGCTGCTGCTGTTTGCTGTCGTTGTTGTGGCTGCCTTTTGGCTCCCTCTTCTCACTCTCTTTCGTTCGTTCGACGTGGCCCTCTCGCTCGCGCTTTTTCCAGGGCCACCTTAACCCCGCGCTGCCGATCCGTGCTTCCGTGAGCGAGGACGGACGCTTCGCGATGTGCGGCTCGGAGAATGGCTTGGTGCACGTCTGGGATTCGGGGCCCCACGCCCCCTGGGCGGGTGAGTGTTACGAAAGAGACATGGGTGCACACAGGACGGATGAGGATTACCTGTCTTACAATGTGTGTGCGTAGGTATACGAAACCTATCAGCAACGACCTTTCAGTCGGTACGACCATGCACGCCCGATCACAAGCACTCCCCCTCCCCCCGTAGCGTCGGCCGGCGAAAACCCGGCGGAGCTCCTCGTCCCGGCGTTGTATGGATGCAAGGCCTACATACAGTTTACCGACCTTGACGACATGCGTTTTTAAGAGTTGCTTTTGCATGATACCCCTCCTCCCCCCCCACACTGTCTACCTCCAGCCCGAGGGCACGTGTCCCTGGAAGGCACCACCGCCTTCGCGGATGAGGAAGAAGGTACGTCTCCCGCCAGGGGAGGGCCTCTCACCAACATGCGCTCGGCCTCGGTGTCGCCCACGGGCAGCCTGAGCCCGTCTCATCGCACCGCCAGCGGCAGGGGCAGGCGCAGAGATGTCGCGGAGGGCGGTGGAGGCGTCGAGGACGACGACGACGCCGCTGTCGACGGCGGCAAGGTTGGCGATGCCGGCGGCGTCGTGGGCGACGGCAGCGGGGATTCGATGCCAACACCGACGCTGGCGGCGATAGGCAGCAACGGCAAGAGCGGCGGCGGGGCGGGCGGAGGAGCCAAAAAGACTTCCACGCGTTTGAGGAGATCACCGTTCTCGAAGTCGCCAACCAAGAGGGACGGGAGGGCCAAAGCTGCTGCTGCTGCTGCCACTGCTGCTGCTGCTGCTGCCGCTGCTGCTGCCGCTGCCGCTACCAGTGCGGCCCCTGCTGGGGGGGGGGGCGCGGCGGCAGCTGCGAAACACGACACTTCCGGCAGCGGCGCGGCTGTGAGTGTAATGCATGCATCCAAGCGCGCTTGTGTGTGCTCTTTGTTATTTGGTCGCAACAAACAAAGGCTGCTTTTTTGGTT